AGTATGGTACTTTCTCCAAAAAAGATCCAAACTTCTCCGCAAGTGCTATTATTATTTTACATTATCCTTTGGGAAGCAAAAACGGGGAACCAGCGTCACAAAGAAATGTTAGGTGCCCTGTTCAGAGTAACTCACAAACTCATGCCCTGAAGGCATAACCGGAAGTAGAGCTTTGTGTGTTCTATGAATAGAAAGTGAAACTCAGTTTCCTTTTTCATAAAACAAAAATTTCAGAGTAATACGGACCGAGAATGTTCATCTGTGCAGACTGGGAGTGTGGGAGTCAAGGGCAGTGACGCGAATCCAGGGACGCTAGCATTCTGCCTCCTGGCATCACCCTGGGAGACCGCGCCTCAGAGACCTGCGAAACCACAGCCGCCTGCCCTCAAATCCAGTCTGAGGAAGGACCCGGAGACAGAGATGTCCCCGCAGAATCTAGAGCTACTTAAGTGTGAAATAGTAACACTTCTTAAATGTCAGTTTTAGACTAGAATACAGATCGGCCTTTCAGAATTCAAAGGAGACACAAAGGTAGACCTTAGTTCACTTTTAATTTCTAAGGGAAAATTAGTTCCTTGAAATTAAAAACAAACAGCATCCTTACAGTGTTAGATGCATCTTTCCTTTCCAAACAAATTTTCGAAGTAAAGCTTCTTATTGTTCCACAGTTTATCAGAGATAGAGTACAGAAACTTTAGATACTTGATTTATTAATCTTTCTTTTGCTGTAATATAATTAAAAAGAGGGAAATTGTTTTTTCAGTGTTTATTTTTCCCTGTGAGTGAAAGTTTTATAGTTTTTTTTTTTTTTTTTTTTTTTTTTTTTTTGAGGGGTTGTTTTTTTGCCCAGGCTGGAGTGCAGTGGCTCAGTCTTGGCTCACTCCAAACTTCCCCTCCTGGATTTAAGTGATTCCCCTGCCTCAGCCTTTCAAGTAGCTGGGATTGCAGGTGCCCTCCACCACGCCCAGCAATTTTTTAGTGGAGGCGTGGTTTCACCATGTTGGCCAGGCTGATCTTGAACTACTGACCTCGTGATCTGCCTGCTTCAACCTCCCAAAATGCTGGCATTACAGACATGAGCCACCGTGCCCGGTTGGTTAACTATTTTTTTTCTAATTGTTTTAAATCTACTTGTAAGTGAATATAGTTGCGAGATTTATGACAACTATTCTTGCAGACAAATTTTATTGTGGATTTTCATATTTTTTATTTTTTTACCTTTAAAATGTAAGTAATGGAAAATAGTAAAAATCTAAGTTGGAAATCTAGTAGTGCAGAAGTTGGCTGGCATCTGCACTGAAGGGGGGACTGAGAAGGGGTCATGCAATTTCAAGCCCTGTAGACATTCATGTAAGACAGAAAATGTAAATATTAATAACAAAGAAATGTTACAAAAAAAGGAAAAGAAAGAATAGCAAGCCCTTCTTTCCTCTTGCCAAGAGAGCAGCATCTCAGAATGCTGATCTACGTTAGACCCTGAGCCAGTAATTTATGTCAGAGCCTGAATGATGTGCAGAGTCCTCTTGATCTAGCATGCAGAAAATTAATTTTGAAGATTCTTTTGATCTGAGCCTCATTCAGATTCAGGCTCAGATTCCATGAATTATTCTGTACATCTGTGTCCCCAGACAGTGCCATACCATTAGGGCCCCTGGTTTTACATCTCCCAGCCCCTCTGCCTGTAACTCTAACTCTGTCCTGGGCAAGGGTGAAGTGGGTGCCTCAGAGCCCTGCAAATACATGGCAGAGCTGGGCTTGAACTTCAGAATCCAAATCCACAGGAATTTTTATAATTCTTAGCTTCCTAAATGGCTGTACCATATTTTCGCCCTTCCATAGGTGATATATCCCTCATCTGTGCACTTTAAAAACTTTTAACAATTTAACCCAAATGCCCCCAATTTATAACAAGTGAATAGCTGTCCTCAGAATCTCCTGAATAATCTGATATTCAACAGGCACACTCTTTGGAGGCAGAAAGCAGATGAATAACTTCCTTTTAAAAATAGCAATGTCCTGGAGAAGTACAGAATTTATCTTCTCTGATGCCTTCACTAGTATACACAGGTAACTGTCCTCTCAAGAGAGGTCATCCCCAACATGTTCCCAGAACGAAGCATCGTCCTTACACATATCAATTGTTGCCTTTTGCATTCACTTATGGTGTTTAGTCAGTTACTTTGACATGTGAGGTTTGAATAATAAATTAAGACATATCAAAAACAACAACTCGGAGTGTTGGGCAAGGGTGATGAAAGCTTCTTCCTTTCTTTCCTTCCTCTCTTTCTAAAAGGACTCGGTTCCTTGAAATTTGAGTCCTGAGCCAGATTTACATTTCACGTGCACATTCTCCGTCAGTTTTTTTTCTCTCCCGGCACCAGTGTTGTGGATGCACTTGTTGCTCAGGTCTTGGTAAAGCATCTCAGCTTTACAGAACTCATTTATGCCTAGTGTTCCATTATTGGAACAGTAAGAATGTGGGAGTTGTTTATATCCTACTGTTCAAGGTCATTGCCAAGGTCCGATTTCAAAATTCAAAAAATTGCAACCTCAGGCATAAATGGGCTAAGGGGATCTCTCATAAGAGGGAAAGAAATTCTGCCTGAAGCTGTGATGGACAGGCAAGAGAAGGGAGCACACCTATCTTCTACAAAGCGGGATTCCCAACAGCCTTCCCCATAAGACACGAAAACTGTCATACATGCAAATCTAAAAAAAAGAAAAAAGCTGGGAGAATTCACCAAGAGAAACACAACTGTCTAAGTGCCCACAAGCCCAGTCTAAAGTGTGCTTCTAGTAACATACACAGAAAGATACAACAAAAATAAAATAATTTACAATCCTATTAGCAACTGTTAGTTTTTCGTTTTTCATGCTTATACATGCATAGGTTCTTACTTAAAAGGAAATATTATATATTCCCACATGATTTCACAAACATCATTTCATATTAGTATTTAAGCATTTATACCATCATTTAAAATGGTTATATGGTATTATTTTCTCTGACCATATAATAATTTGTTCAATAAATCTATCATTGGGCATTTGTGTTATTTCCAATTTTTCACTATTATGAAAGCTTCAGAAGAAAACTTTATTTATAGCAAAAAAATAATAAAGTGTGTTTAGCAGCTTGCTACAAGCTCCAAAATAACACAAGAGGAAAAGGTGACAGGGAGCCCCAAGGTATGGAGACAATCTAGACAACAGCATGGAAAGGGTGGCAGAATTTGTCGCTTTGCCTGTAGGTGACATAACTTCACCCTCCCAGGCCAATGGATATCTAGCATCTCCAGGAGGGAGTTTCCAGTACAAAATCTCTCTAGCCTTCATCATGGGAAGTTCAGCCTGCTCCCTGCAGCAGGAAGCGGGCCTGCATTCTCAACAGCTGATCAGGACACCTCACTCCTTTCTACTTCCTCTCCTACAGCCACACCATTCATGCCCAAGGTCCCTTCTGCCATTCAAACTCCTGTTTCTAGTTTCTCTCAGCTCTGGTACTTTGTGTCTGCCTTCTGATCTAATATTCCTCATACTGTTAGAAATGCTGTTATTTGAGTGTGAAGTTCTCAAGGTTGCGAGCTGTATTATATATTTCTGTGTCCTCCACAGAGCTTTGAGCACAGCATATGCTCAGTAAGCGATTTGCCATGATCTGATTTCTCTTTATCTTACGTAAGTGCATTTATTCATTGATTTGGTCACTGGACATTTGCTTAGAATCTACTGGGAACTGCAGAGGTGGTGATGGATGCCCCAGTTGCCATCCACTTTCTTAATTCATTCCCTGATTTACTCATTAATTCTCTCTTCATTGGTTCTCTGGTTCCCTCATTAATTCACCTTAGAAGTTTTCTCTCATTCACTCTCCAGTTGTCATGACTTGAGATAGAAAATGGGAAAAGGGCTGGATGCAGTGGCTCATTCCTGGAATCCCAGCACTTTGGGAAGCCAAGGTGCGTGGATCACCTGAGGCCAGGAGTTCGAGACCAGCCTTCCCAACACGGGGAAACCTTGTCTCTACTAAAAATACAAAAATTAGCTGAATGTGGTGCACACCTGTAATCTCAGCTACATGGGAGGCTGAGGCAGAATAATTGCTTGAATCCAGGAGGCAAAGGTTGCAGTGAGCTGAGATTGTGCCACTACATTCCAGCCTGGGTGACAGAGTGAGACTCCATCTCAAAAAACAAAAAACAAAACAAAACAAAACAAAAAGCCAAACAAACGGAAAAACCTCCACCCCTTGTGTTCTTTGGACCTTTCTTAGTCACATGGTCCCACCTGGGGCTGCTAATTAGTGCAGGTGGTAGACAGCCAGGATGAAGTGGGGGAGAGGAGACAGACAAGGAGAGAGGGATCACAATGTGTGTGCATGAAAACTAATCTTCAAGGATGAAGATTTTTTCCTTGAACTCCTTCAAGGAAAAAGGAGACCAGGATGCAAGTCCTCCCAGAACGGCAGAGCCTCCTGGCAAATTCAGTGCAAGGAAAGGGTCCCAATGCTGAGTCGGAATGCAGACACATCCAATCTCCACCTCCCAGCTCAGGGGCTTGCTCACTGATGGAACCCTCTCTAAGTCTGCTTTTTCTCCCAGCCTTGAAGAGAAAAATAGTAGTGTACATGCATTTTGATCTATTTTCCAATTTTTATCTCTTCAAATACATGAACAAACAGTTGTCACATTCTCCCCCAAGTCACAGTCTGCTGAGAAGCCTGGTTGTTACGCTAAATGAAACCAACTTCTAAAAACCAGGAAAACAGACAAACAAATCTAGAAGTAAAGATCTTTCCCAATTGACGACATTAAAACGTTCTAAGTAATACTTCCATGGTGTGTAGAAGGGACGAACCTTGTTTGGATGGATGGCAGGTGCACCGAAATGTAAGATAAATATGGAGACAATGACCCACGTCTCCTAATGAGGGCGCCCCTGGAGGTACCACACTGAGACAGGTTAGAGGGGAGGTGGGGTTGTCGGAGCTGAAGCCATACCTTAGTCTGGAACGTACAAAACATGTGCGTCAGAAATGGATGCTCCCAGGCCAAGGAAAGAACTCTCTTCTCTACCATCGTGCACTCGACATCATCGTCCATCAAGACCACATCTTTCTTTAAGGCCTTTATTGCAAAAAATTGATTGGTTTTCTTGAATTCTGCCAGGAAGACCTAGAAGGAAGGGGAAGAAGTAACTTATTTTAGAATTTGGATTCTCACTTCTTAAAAAAGAGACAAAGTCTTGAGAGAGACCTGTGTTGAATGAGAAAAGGGGTTTCTTCTCCAGCCCCCATCCATCCCGGATAGGCTATTCCCAAGACAAAATGGAGGACTTCACTGGCTTCAGATATTATAGCACTGTTTCATGCTACCTTTGTACTCTTTCCAAGGGTTTCACAAAATTATTAAGCAATTGAATGGGTTTTTAAAAGTGTGCCCTGCCTGCTCGGGAACCTGAGTAAGAGTATAATAAAAATCCAGAGAGACAAAAGCACAGTGAAGAAAGAAGAGCCGGAGGAGCAGAGAGGAAATATTGTACTTGAAACGTCACTGCAAGTGCACATAAAACCTAGCTTTATGTTTTACTCAGTTTTTCCAGGCCAAAAGAAGAGTGGAGGGATATAGTTCTCCTTGTGTACTTAAAAAATAAACACCAGCCTGGTATAGTGGCTCATGCCTGTACTCCCAGGATTTTAGGAGGCCAAGGCAGGTGGATCACCTGAGGTCAGGAGTTCGAGACCAGCGTGGTCAACATGGTAAAACCCTGCCTCGATCAAAAAAAAAAAACCAAAAACATAAATTAGCTGGGCATGGTGGTGGGTGCCTGTAGTCTCAGCTACTTAGGAGGCTGAGGCGGGGAATTGCTTGAATGTGGGAGGTGGAGGTTGTGGTGAGCTGAGATTGCACCATTGCACTCCAGCCTGGGCAACAGAGCGAGACTCTGTCTCAAAAGGAAGAAAAAAAAACCCACCATTTTCTCTGACAGCATAGCAAAGAATTATTCATAGCCAAATGTATGGTACATAGTAGGTCCTAAAATGTGAATGGCACTGGGTTCAAAGAATGACTTGCTCAGATTCTTGGAGCTACTAGGGAAGGATTTAACTCCAAAGTTTACTTTTCCCACTTGATTTCGTGGCCCTTACATCAGAGGACACCAAAATGTGAATGACACATTTTAGGACCTACTATGCGTCATGCATTCTGCTACCTGCTTTACATTTTCAACCTAGTTTTATTAGCTAATTGAATTCTTAGCTTGTCATGCTCTGTAGGACAGAAGTTAACAGCAACAACAACAAAATACTGAGTTCAAAGAATAACTTGCTCAGATTCAGATTCTTGGAGCTACTAGGGGAAGATTTAACTCTAAAGTTTACTTTCCCCACTTGATTTCGTGGCTCATGTATCAAAGGACACCAGATGGCATATGATGGCGGGTTTCAACAATTTTAGTTTTTGCAAATGATACAGCAACACACTGTTGGCAATTGTAAGGGCATGGCATTTGGATACAGAAAATTCTAGCTCCAGTTTTACTTCACAGACATTTACTAGCTGTGGAAATGTGGGCAGACCAATGAGGCTCCCTGGGCTTCAGTTTCCAATTACTGCATTCTCTAACTGACGGGACTATTGTGAAAGTCAGATGAGATCAGATCTGGAAAAGTCAGCTCTAAAATGATCTCTGAATCACAGTTGTTAAAATTCAGTCATTTGTCATTTGTTTCTTTTGTTGACTTTTGGGAAAGGCTGAAGTCAGTGATGCTACACCAGTCCTGGACATGTGAGTGTCTAAGTTTAAAACACAATGGTGCAGATTTGTGGATTGGTGGTAGCTGACTTGATAGAAGGGGTGAAACTTAGATGAGAATCAGGCAAATGAATGATGCTCACATCCCCAGAAAACACACAATTTGGGCCAGGCATGGTGGCTCATGCCTATAATCCCAGCGCTTTGGGAGGCTGAGGCAGGCGGATCACAAGGTCAGGAGTTTGAGACCAGCCCGGCCAACATGGTGAAACCCTGTCTCTACTAAAAATACAAAAAAATTAGTCAGGCATGGTGGCAGGTGCCTGTAATCCCAGCTACTTGGGAGGCTGGGATAGGAGAATCCTTTGAACCTGGGAGGCAGAGGCTGCAGTGAGCTGAGATAGCACCACAGCATTCCAGCCTGAGCAACAGAGCAAGATTCCATCTAAAAAGAAAAAGGGAAAACACACAATTTGTTTCCCTGGGCTTAAAAGTAGATTGAAAACAAGGGTGTAGAGGCCTTGGTGAGGATACATACTTTCCATATAAAGCCAGAAGGGAGAGAAAAGAAGGTTTTGGAGTGTTCTCAGTGTAGTGAGAAAGAGCAACATGGCTGTCCCATCTTGCTTTGATGCCTCCCCCTACTCCTCTCCTCTCCATGCATAGGGACCCAAGGTCCTGATGAAAAGACGTGGACGGCTTTGGACACGGAGTGGGGAAACCTGGGGCTCCCAGCTGCGCCTTGGGATACTGACCAAGGCTTGAAGGTTTAACTAAATGTCTTTCTTATTAACCTTCTTCAAATGTAGAAATCCACATGGGAACAAAGAAAGAAAAACATTTCATGAACAATTAAAAGTACTCTTTTAGTAACTGCTTCTTTCAGTAAAACATCCTAAAGCCAGCCATAAACTAAGAAGCCGAAAAGACCATTTCCATCTATATAATGTGCTTTCAATTTTTGGTAACAGGTTATAATTGCACATTAATTGCTGCTAAATTGTAATGAAGACTGGCTGTAAAATTGTCTATTATGCTCGGATTAGCACCAAATGAGCCTGCTGTGGTTCATATTATTGTGGAAATGAACAAAAAGAATTCATGAATATCAGCTACGATGTGCAAGAGAGAGTAGATGTTGCTGAAAGGCAAGTCACCAGTGTTTAAATCCAAACCCCAACTGGAGCACAATATTATTTAGCTGTGGCGACTGCTCAGTTGCATTTTAGTTTGTTTAATATTAAATAAACTGGGTAAGATTTCCTGCCAAAGTCTGGTGAGCAGGTGTGGTGCATAATGCTGCCTTTGGCTGCACAGATTCATGGAATAGCTGTTGCTCATTAAAATGTTTGTAGGGGTCCCATCCAAGAATTTAAAACAAATAGGAGCCCTGTTAATACATGAGATATCCTTAATATCAAAAATTACCTAAAAGCCTACATTCCATATCGTCCCTCCTTAAATCACTAGCTTGAAAATTTCCTGCAGTCACTGATAGTGGGTTATAATTTCTTAAATTGTCTCTTCTTCCTTCTCCTCACCTCCCTTTTCCTTCTTGTCCCCTTTTCCTCTTTCCTTCCTCTCCTTGTCATCTGTGAGTGACAGAGACAACCCCCCACCTGCATGCATGGTAGGAAGAATTTAGAGGAGGGACTTTCTCCGCAGTTTTTTTCTGGGACTCTCAAGCTACAATTTTGTTATGGGCTTAATTGTGTCTATGCTGAAGTCCCAATCCCCAGTCCCTTGGAATGTGACCATATTTGGAGACAGGACCTTCAAAGTGGTAATTAAGGTTTAATGAGGTTATTAAGGCAGGTCCTAATCCAATAGGACTGGTGTTTTCATAGAAGAGAAAATTTAAGCCAGGTGTGGTGGCACAACTGTAATCCTAGCTACTAGGGAAGTTGAGACGTGAGGATCACTTGAGTTTGAGAGGTCAAGACCAGCCTGGGCAACATAGTGAGACCTATCTCAAAAAAGGAGGAGATTTAGATGCAGACATGCACCGCAGGAAGATGGTATGAAGGCACAGGGAGAGGGTGGCCATTACAAAGCAAGGAGAGGAGCCTGGGAAGAAAGAACCCAGGTGACACCTTGATGGTGAACTTCCATCCTCCAGACCTGTGAGAACATGAACTTCTGTTGGTTAAGTCAGCCAGTATGTGATATTTTGTTATAGTGGCCTGTATTAGTCTGTTCTCACGCTGCTAATAAAGACATACTGGAGAGTGGATAATTTATAAGGGAAAGAGGTTTAATGGACTCACAGTTCCACATGGCTGGGGAGGCCTCGCAATCATAGAGGAAGACGCAGGCGGGGCAAAGGGGATGTCTTACATGGCAGCAGGCAAGAGAGAGCATGTGCAGAGAATACCCATTGATAAAACCATCAGCTCTCATGAGACTTATTCACCATCACGAGAACAGCATGGGAAAATCCGTCCCATGATTCGACTGCCTTCCACTGGGTCCCTCCCATGACATATGGGGATTACTACAATTCAAGGTGAGATTTGGGTGGGGACACAGAGCCAAACCCTATCACAGCCTAAGCAAACTTATACGAGTCTGAAGACATTTAATAGAGAGAGAGAGAAAATCAAAAAATCACATATAAAGCAAAACAACACTGTAGGCTTGAGAATGAAGCAAAAGAAGAAAGAACAAAACGAAACAATCACAAACACCGTGTGAAAGAGGAAGTGGCTGAGGCACCTTTCTATTTCTTTGGTGCCCAAAGACATCAAACTCATAGGCGTGTGGGGGTGTGTACTTTACAAGTAAAGTTAGCTTTGGAGACTACAATGGGCCTGGAATTCTTGGGGGTTCCTATTTATTTAGAGATCTCCCAGGAAAGTAACACACGGCCCTGCTGGCCCCATGAGTTTAGTTTCATTAACCAGGAGCTTGGCTCATCAGCTCCTGGAGTTGGTCTCCCGTGCAGTAGCTTACCTTGCCAAAACTTCCTTTCCCCAACATCTTGTGCAAGATAAAATCCTCGATTTTCAGTTTCATCTGCAGAGACGGTTTTTCTACGTTCAGTTCAGGTTCTGGAAGATGGCACATTTTATCCACCTCATCCAACGGAGACTCCCAGGAGATTCCCTGGGGCTCTGAAAATGGCAAGCTGGTGGTTAAAAATACACATGGAGTAATGGAGGTCATTCTAGTTACTTAGAGCACATGCTTTCTCTTCTGCTTCCCATGCTGAGGCTCCATCATAGTAATTGGAGGTATTTAAAGGGTCTCCTGCAGTTCAGGGAGCTTTAATACCTCTCCAACTATCGGTGAGGGCAGCACCCCCCGTCTGTGAACCCAGCATTTGGAATTTGGAATGTGGACCGTGTCTCTTTCTCCAATAGATTGGGAAATAGTTCAAATTAAGAAACACATTCCAATCAGCAAAAGACCATATAGGCAAAATGCACAAGCACTGTTAATAATGTCAAATCAAGGACAACTAGGGATTTTGACCAAATTTCGGGAAAAAAATGATTTTCAATTGTTTGCATGGCTCACAAGCACAGTGGCATCAATTTCTACAAATTACAGTGTGAGGGCAAGGAAATGAAATCTAGCAGGTATTTAAATATCTGAACCACATCATTCATCACAGAATTCAAGTCAAGATGCTACCTACGCTGGCCAGGCATGGTGGCTCACACTGTAATCCAATAACTTTGGGAGACCAAGGCGGGCGGATTGCCTGGGATCAGGTGTTGAATACCAGTCTGGGTGACGTGGTGAAACCCCATCTCTACTAACATACAAAAAATTAGCTGGGTGTGGTTGTACACGCCTGTGGTCCCAGCTACTCTGGAGGCTAAGGCAGGGGAATCCCTTGAACCCAGGAGGCAGAGGTTGCAGTGAGCTGAGAGTGTGCCACTGCATTCCAGCCTGGGCCACAGAGTGAGATTCTGTCTTTAAAAAAAAAAAAAAAAAAAAAAAAAAAAGATACTGCCTATGTTGATGGTTGCTGAGATGGTCTCTTTTACTGCCTGGCAACCCCTCCTAAATGTAACCCAAACCTTTCTTTTACATTTTTAAGTTGATTTTAAGTCAGAGAAAACAAAAGAAAAATTGTTTGGAATTTCTCCCTGCCTACAATATTTCCTTTATTTTTAGATCCCCAGGTTTATCTTTCACACTCTTCCTTAAGTCCAAGGACAAAAGTATTTTATAATGTATGCTGAAACTACTCAGGTCTCAGAAACACAAGGTCACATCCACTCATGAATTACTTTCAAACAGTAGGCTGGAAAAACTGCCATAATGTCATGAAAGTGGCCTTGAGTCCTCCTCTTTCCCACCCTTAAATTTGAGTCTCAATGGTGCAGAGTAAGAACATCTTCTGTGGCTTTCCCACCGACACATTTTAAGATAGATTTATTTCTGTAAAACAATTTGACCTTGACAGAATGTAGCATGCTGAAATTCTAAGAAAACATTTGCAGTTGTTCCTTCCAGACCTATCCCAATTTTCTAATCCCCACCTTCTGCCCTTACAAAGGTAGCCTAACGTGGCTTATTTTGGTTTCTTTTCTAAGAAGTGGGAGCCTCTCAGTTGGTAGCTGGAGGTGCATCACCTATCAGACCATGTAAGCTGATAACATAAATCCAAGGGCATCAGGTTAGGGTTAATGGAGACTAGTGACTGACATTGATTAGATTGCTAACCAGGACAGCTACCTCTTTTTCCCGGTGTTGGTAAACATGGCGGCCTTGCTTCATTTTTGATGGGGCATGGGAGACCAATTTCAACTGGACCTTCTCTGAAGATCTGTTCAGTATCTCTTAAGCAGCGAGCCTAGATGACAAATGGAGAATCAGACCGCCCACCCATCTACCGCTGATAGAACAGCTCAGCCTGCTAACCACAGGGACAAAAGCCATTTAAAATCCCTAAATGCACAGGGTCACCAAAGCTCTTCTTTTCCTCAACATTCTTTTAGAATCCCATATTCTGGGAGCGCCTATCTATTGTATTTTATGCATTGGCAGAACATATTTGCCTCCTTCACACTTTTCTGGGGCTGACAGGATTCTCCCATGCCGTCTACATCATTCCATCACAAAGAAGGACAGTGGGTCAATGGATGGGAAAACAGCTGATTCGGGTAATGCCAAGTCTTACAGAGGGTTTATCCTCGGATGTGGGAATTCAGCAAATGCCAAGGCAGTAAACAGCAGGGCAAAAGTTGCCCTGGACTCAGTGTTCTGTGAGGATTCTGGGGAAGATACTGGCACATAAGTGTTTTCCCCCAGGCTATTCTATAGCCCACATATATTCACATAAAGCTGTCAATGAATCCTTAATAATTTTAATGAATTTGTATCTGCATTGCTCACGCCATGCAGAAGTTAAGATTTTATAAAGATCTGCATAATACAAATGCATTAAATAAATATCTCAAAGCGGGGCTATGGGCGTGGAGATGAAAGCAGAGGGCAAGGCTGGTACTCAGGAATACATCCCAGCATTTCCTGTAGGGCTGCTACAGGTGGAGGAGCGGGAGGGCATGGGCATCCTTGTTGAGCGGCATGGCGGGAATGTGTTCACGGCTTGTGCTTCTACCTGTTGGGTGCTCTCAATCATGGCCAGCGCTTCAGCCATTAGCTTCTGGTTTATGCCACAAAGGTTGGCCACCTTCGTCTGGCATCTGTGATGTACGTTCATGCCACATGCTGGAAAGAAGAAGGTGGATGGTGAGCAAGAGTGGAAGAATCCCTTGGTGCTGGGCAGTGACTCCCTCTAGAGCTAAGACAGAGCCTTGTGGATAGGGAGGGAAGCCTAAGGTGCCACGGCTGGAGGCATTTGGCCCTGGCTCTCCCTGGTAATGATCCACATGTGGGAAGGGAAAGTGAGGTAAAAGGTGGACTCAACTCTGGAGGAGATGGGGTTCAGACACAGACCAAATTGAAGACTAGCTAAAACAGGGACAAGGCAGAAGTAGCTTTCCGGAAGATGCCCACCTGTGTGCCATGTCGGTTTACTGTTGCCATGGCAACACCCAGAAGTTACCACCCTTTTCCTAGGAACTTAATGTGCATGTAGTTAAAAGTGGGTATAAATGTAATTGTTTAATTTTTCGCAGAGATGGGGGTCTCACTTTGTTGCCCAGGCTGGTCTCAAACTCCTGGGCTCAAGCCATCCTTCCACACTGGCCTCCCAAAGTGCTGGGATTACAAGTATGTTATTGTGCTTGGCCTCGAGTCTTTACTATAGAAAGGAATTTTTTATGATTGTGCTCCAAATTCCACATTGTCAGCGTGACTCGCATTGGCCTTATTTAGAAGGTGTTAGGTTTTAACTTGGGTAGCCCCAGCTGCATTTTCTTACGCATCACTGTAACATGAAGTGACCTTGTCAGCCAGGGTGGAACATACGGGGATGGGATTTTACTTTGCTTCTTAAAACTGCAGCCACATCTAGGCTTGTCTGTGACTTGCATGGCTGTGAAGAAAGGCCATCATCATCTCCACGACAAGGTCATAAGTCTTTGTTACTAACCTACCAGGCCGTAACTCAATTTCTGGGTGGGCAAACAGTCCCTTTGGATGACTATTTTCGCGGGAATTATTGTGAGGAGAGAGAGAAGGTAGGGCAAAAGACTAAAGGAGGCCCTACCAAAGACGACGGCTTGTAAGGAGGCAGAATGAGAGGGAGGCAGAGGGGGAAGGAAGAGAGCTGGAGAAGAGGGTGAGGAGAGTCCAGAGAGGAGAATGCGGGCATGCGGGGGGAGCAGAGTGGAGGGGCAGGGACTGGGGGTGTCAGAAGCAAAAATGGGAAACCAGGGCGGGGGGGAAGGGGAGGAGAGAGGGAAGAGGAGAGGGGACAAAAGAAAACGGGGAGGGGAGCACTTGAAATGAAGGTGGTAGGAGAGAGCAGGGAGGAGGATGGAAGGGAAAGAATATTCAAGGAAAGAAAAGAAAGCAGGCACGAGAGCCGTGAAACACCACCCAGGAATCCCTGGAAGTTCTAAGATGTGCGGCGGTGCTGCTGGGAGCAGCTCTTGCGCGTGGGCGTTCGGGCTCCCAGGACGTATAACCCGACCTGAGACCATCAGAGACCCAAGAGGCGAGGATCTCACTATTCCTGTTTCTGTGGACATGGCCAGGGTGCTGGTCTCACTATTCCTGTTTCTGTGGACATGGCCAGGGTACTGGGACATTGTGTTTTCCCTCCATACTCTTCATGTCTTCTTGAACAAGGGTGTACAGAAAAATGTGTCAGTGTCCTTTGGGGCCAGGAAGGGATTCTTGAGGCTAGCGCTGGCTACCTATGATGTCTGCTTTAGGTAATGACTTGAAAACCTACCCCTCCTGCCTCCACTGAGAGATCACTCTGCGTTCCACCAGGCACGTGAGCATGATTGGGATGAAGAAGGGGAGAAGGTGGAAGATGCTGTGTTGCCTTCCATCACGTACCTCATCACTCAAAAGAGAGGACATACATTAGTCAGTAGCACTGATCAAATAGGGCTGCCAAGAAAAAATGAAGTGGCTTATATATTTCATGGTTCATCACAGGAGAAGCTCTGTGCTCACCAGTCATGGTGATTCACTGCTATAATCCCAGTCCTTTTGGAAGCTGAGGAGACAGGGTTGCTTCATCCTAGGAGTTTGAGATCAGCCTGGGCAATATAGCAAGATCCTATCTCTTAAAAAAAAAGACAGACAGACATGGTAGCACATGCCTGTGGTCCCAGCTACTTGGGAGGCTGAGTTGGGAGGATTGCTTGAGCTCAGGAAGTCAAGGCTGCAGTGAGCTGTGATCGAGCCACTGCATTCCAGCCTGGGCAACAAAGTCAGACC